TTTTGTTTGAGCTTGATTTTATTCTACATCACTTTTTATATCTTTTCATGAATAAAAGTTGAAAATGTTTTGAACAGTCTTTATTTCGTTTCCATTTCTTTTTCATTTGTGCATTATATCTATTTCCATAAGAGAGCTATACATCCAATGTTTGTGTGCAACTCGGTATAAAAAAACATAGAACGAACGAATCCAACGTGCTCGCAAATCCCTATAGAATAAGCCATTTGATATTAAAATATATTATTATCATAAATGAGTTTTAACATAATGTTTATATATTTTTAACAAATTATTTAATTAATTTAATTAACTTGTTAAAGTTACTTCAGAACAGATTATTTTGAATTTGCAATATCAAACATATGCAAGTCGTGCCGTTAATCAATTCCTCTTCATAATTTTATCATATTTAGAGCAGACAAATATGGTTTAATAGCAAAATTCATCTTCAATGCTTTCCTCTAGACAACAAGACATACCAATTGCAGGGAATAGGAGGTGACCTTTCACATTGAAAGAAATGAAAATATTGGAGGTTTGGTCAATTGGGTGCCTGTGCCCTTACGCATTATTCCAGGCCAAAAACTTCGACGATCAAACTTTCGAGTTGTGATCGAAAGCACAAGTAGTGCCTTGTGCTCTTATTAGAATACATGGTTGAACAATATACCCATATGTTTTCTTGTCCCTGTGATTGATGGGTATATAATATGAAAAGACTTCACATGTTCTTTCGACTAACTCTTTTGAACGGCAGTTGTGGGGATTTGGGTATGGCTCAAAGTACGAAGAGATGCTCTAAGTAAAACAGAGGTACCAGGAATTTGCCGACGGTGAATTTCTTGTAAGGATGAAACTGATGCTGATACTAATCTAACTTGATCTGATCTTTCCTCTCAATCAGTTGTCCAATGGATCTACTTTAACGTTCTAGTGAAAGTTAACTGAAAAGACTGTATTTATACAGGTCATGATTCCATCAGAGACCATGTACCACTGTCTATATTGTGGATATACCCATCAACCATGTATATAATATAAAATGCACAATACACAATATACTCATTCTTATTAAGTTTTTCTGTCCGCAAAAATAAAATAGTATGGTTTCATTTTATGCTTTTGTTAGAACTATTCTGTGTACATCTGCTTTCACTCAACTAAGCATTCCGAAGAAACTTTAAGTTAAATAATACTATAGCAAAAAAAAATTCGTGAGTTTTTTATTCCTGTTGCTAAAGCATTTTAGTCTTTAATTTTTTTTTTTAAATACTTTCAATTGGTATACGCAAGAAATAGACCAATTCAACAGCTAAAATTGTTCAATTTCTCGTATAGTTAAATTCTCATCAATTTGAGTTAAAAGAATAATCACTCAGCCTTTAATGTTCATATAAAGCACACCACAAACATAAATATCTTCTTTAACTTTTATTATGATGGATTGAATATCTTTCATAAAAATTACAAAAAGATGCGACAATTTTTTTTTAACAAATTCCCAACAAAAAATAGACAATATTCATTCTTTTCTATCGAATCGATCATAACCGCTACCTACATTTCAAAAAAGTGTGAACCATAAATAAGAATTAATAAAGAGACCTGCGATTTCATAGAAAGACATCACAATCTTTTATGGCCAAAAAAACTATTTGTTGAGACAAAAATAAAAATATTAAATTTCTACTAAGATAATTGGAATTTCCAACCAATAATAATTCTAATGAACCTAAAAAAAGAATAAAGACCCAACATAAATCACTTCTTTTTTTAGACATTGCAATAAATTCTAACTATATAGATTCTGATCGCCAACTCATAAATATTAGATCTACATGAATTTTATTGTAATTGAGAGAACAACCAAAAGTTTACTTTTTTTTTTTTAATTTCTGAAGTAACTCTCATCAACTAACACTATTTTGATGTGAATATTTAGGAATAAATCTTAGAATTAGTTAGATCTAACACAATAACATCCTCTTCATATATCCCTTGTAGAAATATATAGACATGTCGATACATTAACCCGTCCGATCGCGATCTATTTTTGAAAATAGTTATAATTCATTTACCCATATATCATGTTTATACATACATAAAAGTTTTTTTTTTGCATTTATATTCGGAGTAATCTATATGTCACACAATATTCTACTAATTTCAAAAATCTGGTTAAAAATTTTTTTTCTACATGTAATCTACATATATGTTCTATTTGTTTAAACATATATATTCTTTTAAAAAAATCTTTTTATTCATAAGTGTTCTATTTCTTTATAAAGAAGGAAAACATATAGATTACTAGGTGTCGATCGAATAATATTCATGATTCTAAAATTGTATCAATTACATACTGGTTCCAAAATAGAGAAATATTACGGTAAAACTTTGTTTAAATGTGATAAAGAGCAACGTGCGACTTGAATTGAATGACATGATTTGTTGTAGATTTTGACATCCACCACTTTATATTATACATGAAGAATAGTGTTTTTGGCTTTACATTATTTATTCTACCAGAACCCTCTTTTTGTTAGGTTGTAATATAAAAAGTAATACAAGATGGAGTTCGAGTAGAAAGTATTTATTCCCTTGTCAAGGATAAGAATCTAGGGTTAATGTAAGTCATAAAGTTGGAATAACTTTGTAAGTATATTTTCGATATAGAAAACGAAATGATCTGTTTCAAGTAATTTTCAAATTCATAAGAAGCCTTGTCAAATAAAGATTTTTTTCTGACCATATTTCGATTGTCAAAACGATATATACGGACTATTACTACAAATAGTACTACGCTCTTGATCATAAAATGTTGATTATTTATTGAACCCTATGAATTGCGTGAAAGTAAGATACCTCAAATTCGAGAGTTTAAGAGTTTTATAAAACATTCTTGGTAGAAAAAACATGTAAATAAAAGATATTATTGAATTGAATTAGATTCATGAATTGAATAATTAATAAAAACTCTTAATCTCTCTCAATTCGAAAATTCAAGATTTGAATTGATATTTTTTTATTGATTCCTCCTAAATTACATTAATTTATTCTAAAGATTTTATTTCAATTAAAATTTGATTATTCATTATGTAGGGGGATCGCTGCTAAGTATTCGTGGTTGAATAGTTAAAGCACTCAACTTATAATTGACAAATTCATAAGTTGAATTTCTACTAGATGCACACCAATATAACCCTCCAATAAGTTTATTAGAATTGGATTTGTGTCAATGGAATCTCATCATTTACACTTACTAAAATTAATGTTATATATTCATATTATAACATATAAACAATAAGAACTAGCATTCTTATTAAAACTAAAATTCATAGGGATTGATAGATATATATATATGCACAATATAGACAATATACATAGTTTCTGAAAGGTATCATGAACTGTACAAGTAAAGCCTTTTCAGTTAATGCTCACTAGAATGTTAAAATAGATCCGT